CTACATGACCAATCGAAATTTTTGTGTTCATAATGACAAATTTGAAAGTGTTTAATCAATTACTCTTACCTTGTACAGATTGTATTCAGAAAACTTACTAGAACATCCATTGACTGTGTCAAATGCACTAGCCAATAGAATCACAGATTTTATCTGTTAGTTTAAACCCTTACTTATTGTTGACGTAGTATTATACCAAAGTAACCTTCATGGAGAAATGCAGACTACAAATCCTTAATCCTACTGCGTTTAGGAGTGCAATAAACCTAAAATTTTGGGTTTTGGTTTTATTTAGTTTGCATTTAAAAATAGATTGGGATTAGATTTGAGTTTGAGTTTAGATTTGGTTTTAAATAATCCAAACCACAACGAATTTTGTAAGATAATGTCATATCACCGACGACCTACTTTATTAGAGAGATACAATACAAACATAAAAGTTTTCGGGATCTGGGATCGAATCCTCCATATTTAGATTTGGATTTGGTGTTGGAAAAAATAGTATGAATAGTTTGCGTTTTGATAATGGCCGTCAAATAGCAAACTATTCATGTGGATTTGATTTTAAAAGTAAATCGAAACTACAATTTCAAATATAAATTAAGTTTCCAGGCTCTTGGTCCCAAATCCTACATATCTTCTAGATTTGTTGCATGTCTAGATATGTTCATTGCACTTTATATCGATTCTACCATCTCCTACTAATTGTGATTCTCTTTATCGGTTCTGAGATTGCACATTGCTTATCGTTTTCTTGGTCAAAGATAACATTTTTATGTTCAATATAGCTGTTCTTCTTGAACATCATTCATCAAATGTCAGTTGTTTCTCAATTTACTGTACTATTTTCGTTCCTTTCTAGAAAATAGTCAGACAGACAAGTATTCAGTAAATTATACATACATAAAAAAGAACAATAAAACTCTTTTGATTTTCAAGTAGCTGTTGTAATAGCACTACTTGGTAGTGCAAATGAAATTATTAAATGTATTTGTCAAGAAAATTTTTGTGGTCTTCTTAAACGTTTTGAAATTTAAAAACGTTTAGTGTTCAGTTTAAAAGAAACAAATTAACAATTAAGAAGTTAAGAAAATGTTAATTTTCACCTAATTGAATTACTTGCAAATGCCTATTAAAATCGAGAAATATAGAAACTAATTGCGCTGAAATCCCGTAACAAATCTAAAATCAATCCATCAATTTAAATATAAAGATCTCATTGATTGCCTACGAAAATTACACGAAATTGTCTCATGTTCATTGTTAATCATGTTGCAATAGTTTAAATTCTTGTGATAAAAATTATACTCAATAGAAATTCTCATAAAAATCCTAAAACTGATTATTGATCATATCTTTGTTTTATATAATTTCTATAATATTTAATAGTTTTGTTTTGGTCTCAACAAAAAACTCGCTCTACATATTTAAACTTTAAGTAAGTGTTAAATAAATAGTCATTAATATTTGCACTTGCAATACTTTGACACGTAATAATTGGATTAATAATGTTGTTCGTACTTTAACCGAGAGTGCTTGCAGACTTGTACATCTGTTGTTTTTTCGAGAATAATTATTAAAACCAACAAAGACTGAAACTAAATTTTAAAATGTCATCTCTTATCTTTGATATATGTAAGAATTAAAAAGATTAATACTTTTATCTGATGAGAAAAGATCTACATATAGTCACGTCTTTTTTTTTTAATGAATACTATGGAATATTGTCTGTATAAAAAGAAAAGATACGATGATTGCTCTCAATATTATTTATTAACATACGAATGAAAAAATTATATGTAGTAACATCTAACTAACAGCTTTGAATTATATTTTCCTACTTGCATTCTATTATATTCGACATGAAATATCAAAATGCCGAAATTAGACCATCTATGTATGTATTTTGTAGTGAATTTCATAGAATAAATAAGAATTTAGTAGAATACTTTCATATTGTTTATGACATTTTTTTATCGAACAAATGCCAACACCTTTCTCCTATCTTACTTAATGCATTCATTTTTAACGATCAGATCATTTGCTCTACATAGTTCGTTACATACGTACTTTTTTTCAAAGTCTTTCACAAAAAAAAAAGAAATAGAAAAAAAAAATATCCATATCTATCTTTCAATACAGGAAATTTTTTTTTATTGTCAAAACTTTTTAACTGTTTAGACCATTTTATCATGTTCAATTTGTTTCAGTCAATTTGTTACTGAAAATTTGTCATGTCAACATTTTATTGAACAGATCACATTTGATAGAAGTATATAAATAAGCTAGTTAGACAATAGACAAGCATCGGAAGAAATGTATGTATGTATGATCTGTCAAATTTTCTTAAATTTTTTTTTCCCGAGAATTTTTTTTCGTTATAAAATTCAGAATCTTATATATGTTATTGTTCTTTTACAACGTTTAAGTTCAGCTGTTCTTTCTTTTTTTCTTTTTCTAGATGTTCATCAGTGCTCCAATTACGAGCATTTTCGTCACACTTGTTCTTTATCTTTTACAAGGGGTTGTTCTCGGTTTATCTACTTCGATTCCTATTTATTTAACATCAGCAGGTGCTACATGGAGACAACAAAGTACCTACAATTTTGTTCATTATCCCTTTAGTTTGAAATTGATTTGGGCACCAGTAATTGATGTTTTTTATATTCGACGTTTTGGAAGACGTCAAACATGGCTTTTACCCATACAATTAGGACTTGGTATAATTCTGATTATTCTATCATTCTATATTGATTCATTGATTGATAATTTACGCATTGTTTCACTGACAATCTTCTTATTCTTCATTGTATTTTTTACTGCTAGCCAAGATGTATGTGTCGATGGATGGGCTCTTGCACTTTTTTCAACATCAAATGTTGTTTGGCAATCAACTTCACAAACTATTGGACAAACTCTTGGACGTTTTCTTGGATCATCATTTCTTCTAACATTTGAATCAGCTAATTTTACCAATCGTTACATTCGTGCACCATTATCACTTCAAACGCACAATACTGGATTATTCACACTAGCCGAATTTATACGTTTCTGGGGCATAAGTTTTCTGTTTGTTACTTGTATTATAGCATTTCTATTTCGTGAACGAACATCAAATCAAAATGATGACAACGAAAAATTAAAACTCATTGAAACATATTTATCTATTATCAAATTATTCAAGAAGAAATGTATGTTAGAATTAGTATTTATTCTTATTATTTCTCCTTTTGGTTATGCTGCAACCTATTTTATGACTAATATTGCTTTAGTTAGGTAAGAAGATTTTTACGAAAAACATTACATAGAAAAATTTTCAAGAATATGACGTTGTTAATAAACAGAATAATGTTAAAACTTTCTCAGTTTTTAAAAGTTACGTAATCTGTATTCTATTCTAGTAATGGAATGTCACGTGAAACTCTTGGTCTTGTTACAATGCCATTGGTTTTAGTCAAAATTATTGTACCAATAATTCTTTCTCAAACTCAGCGACCTTTAATTTGGTTTGCTCGATTATATCTACCTCGGCTATTTATTTGTGTATTAATTGGTATTTATATTTACTTTACTTCTCCACTTGTCAAATTTCCGTATATATTCTATCCAATTTTGATGACTTTATTCGTGATAAACGAAACAATTATTTATTTACAACTCGTTGCTCGAGTTGGTTTCTATGCTCAAATTAGTGAACCACGTATTGGTGGAACATATATGACATTAGTAAGCACTCTTGGTAATATTGGTCAGATTGTATCGTCTCATGCCGTTCTTCTAGTAGCAAGTTGGCTACCGAAGCAACATGCATACTCAATTGAAGTAGCCGGTTGTACTATAATTGGCATTGTTTGGTTATCATTTTCTTGGCGCATGATGCGTCGATTACAAGCACTTCCAATTCATAAATGGTATTCTGTAAAAGAAATTGATGGACCAACAGAAATGAACGGTCAAGAGTGTTCAGAAACGATACCAAATACTAAAAATGATGAGGTCTAATATTGGATAACAACAAGAAAATATTGATTTATCTATATTGTTTTTATATGTTTCCAATTTTTTGTTTTCTGTAAAGTTTATTATTAATTACTTGATGCAAAGTATAATATCATGAAAGAAATATGAATTATGTGATGCATTTTTTTTATTGTGAATATGAAAGCTAAGGTTATTTGTTCTAAAAAGCATGCATACATTATTGGGCAAGAAATCTACAGAATTAGCCATGACTCTAGAAACTTCAATATTCTATCGAAAAATAGATAAGGAAAACCAGATACAAAACCCGATTTAAAACCATTTTGGATTCAAGTTTTACTCCATTGTTACACGCATAGTATTACATTGTCTAGTATTTTATTTTTGGTTCTTTCTTTTATTTTAAACATTAATAATACTGTAATCAAGTTTTTCATGTTCGTAACATTTATTTGTTGAGTAATTCAGTTTTTGATTTTATATCAATTTCACAATCAAGAGATATTAATTATCATGAGTCTTTCCATTGAAAAATAATTATTTATTTTTTAATACGATAAAAGTTCTACATACATAGATTTATTTTAATCAACGTCAATGTTTGATCAATAGATATCTCCTTTACTCTTCGAAATGCGAAAAAGAATAATTTTCCTACACGCGTGGTCTCTTTATCTTTTCTGTTGCGCACAATTATATGCTTTTTTTTTAAATTTTACGTCTTTTCAAACACTTATCAGTACAACATCAAGTACGATAAAAGTTTCTTCAATTGTTTTTGTCACATCATCAATATGGTCGAAAGTACCTTAGTTATTCTGTGTATATCCTATGTTTGTGTATTTATTATGTGCCTTGTTAGTCTTAGTATTAGTAAATATTTTAATTCACCATGTCCTTTTCAATTGAATTCAATTGTTAGTTCTATCAGTTTATTATTTATACATGTTTTCTTGAAATTGAAATCGTCATGGTTTCTTCTTAACACTCTATTGGCTTTTTCCTTTAGCGGACTTAGTATGTTGACAGTTTTCAAACTTCTTGAATTAGCATTTGCTTATAAATGGACATATACTCGACGAATGCCATTAAAACTGCTAGCTTTATATTTACTTGCCCTTCCACGAATGCCAGAATCTGAAGCAAAGTTAGCAGGGTTATCAAAACAAAATGTACGTCGAGAAGGTATCTTGTTAATTTTACGAAGTATTTTTCAATGTATTATTTATCGAATACTTCTTTACTTAATACCTCTTGAATGGCTTTCACTTTCTTCATCATCATTTTTTCCAATATTCCGTTTCGTTCGTTATGTGTTATTGAGTGTTCTTCTATATCTGTCAATTGATGGTACTACTGGTATCGGTTTTGGCATTTATACTATCGTTTTTAATCTTCCAATCAATCGTGTATATCCTGTGTTTCCTTTCACTGCTACGAGTCTTCGAGACTTTTGGTCATATCGTTGGAATAATCTTGTAAAAACCTCGTTGCAAATTATTTCTTTTGTTGTTGTTCCAAAACTAATCGATCCAATAGTGTCAATGAACAAAAAAGCAAAAGGTCTCTTCGCTTTTTTTTTATCAGGTTTTCTGCATGAATACACATTTTGGTTTGTCTCAAGTACATGGTCTGGTAAAAACATGATTTTCTTTTCATTACATGGTCTTTTAGTTTTATTAGAAATAACTATGAAGATGCCAGTCAAGCCAAATACTTTCAAAGGAAAATTATTGGGATGTATGTGGACAATAGGGATTTTGTTAATAACTGCACCACTTTTCTTCGATCCATTTATTGAAGCGGGAATTTTTTCTGCTATGAAATAAAAGTTCGAGTAGTTCATCCCGGTGATCCGTGATTATTAGCAAGATATTTTTTTCACTTTATTTTCAAAACATGAACAGTAAATTGCCTAAAACCTACTAGGTTTATTTAAAATGATTTTGCAAAGAAGTATTTTGTATATACAGACCTTAAAACAAAAGTCGATATATTGATTTATGTGTCATTAATTAATATATACGGTAGCTTTTATACTTTTTTTCTTCATAGTATCAAATAAATACCACTAGTCCAATCAATATATTATGAAGTTTTTTCATGTGGTATTTCTCTCATTATATTCTACTACTTCAATTCTACGAAGAATAAAATACTAAAACTTCTAAAATATCCTCATATTAATGTCATTTTGAAAGGTAAGTCAATAAATAGTTTTTCTTTTGTTTTGTTTCAACCAAGAAACGAACATCTGCAGAAAAAATGTCGTACTTTCGAAGAGTTGGTTATGAATATGTTGTCTAATTTATAAAAAAAACGAGCATCATTGAAAATATAAAAAAACCTAATTTTTCTTAATTTCTTTGTAATCACACAAAGATATATATAAATGTGGAAACGAATGACAGAATGAATTAAATTTGAATTTATCAGTTCTGATTTACATCATTTCTTTTATGCAGGAAGATCTACATTATATAGTTTTCTAGAGTATTATTTTGATCTCCGATATTCTATATTTTCATGCTATTTTCGGCAAAACTAATAGACTATTGAGTATATATATATATATGCACGTTGTCTCTTTCTCCATAGTCAGAAGATTATCTTGTTAATAATATTTCGTTATATTAAATTGTTTTTAACTGTATTCTTTTTCTCGTATAATGCAAACGTAATACGTGAGCAGAATTCAGAAAATAGTCCTAGTTTATTTAATCTGCCTGATTTGTTAGAGAATAATCAGAATGATGTCGAATAGATAGAAGGCGATATTGCAATACCAATAAGCAATAGTCGAAATGCACACATTCAAGCTCTAAAATAGCCCAATCATCTGTTGAATTTGATGCTACACATACAAATGATCATAAGAATGTTATCGTTAGTACTATGACTGCAATTAGTTAAAATATACGAATGACTGTATAGGGTTTGCCTGGCGAAATAATAATCCAGTTTCGTTAAGAATTCATTCTGATCAAGAATAAGAAAACTAAATGTACGTTTTATTTAGAAGATAAAGATAAAACAAATAAATAAATGTAGATGTTGATCACATATAAGTAAAATTGTGCATAGTAGTGGTCAAGATCGTTCAATTCAAATTCGTAGTTGTATTCAACATTGGGTAGCATTACATGAGTTGTTACATGCAATTGACTTTGCTCATGAACAGACTTGTATTTATCGTAATACAGATGTAAATTATGTGTCTATTATGAAAATATTCAAAGCAGTAAAACGAAAACTGTTTAATGAAACATCTGTTTAAATATAACTTGATTTTTTTTATAGGTCAAGTACATAATTTCTATAAATTTGCTCGAAACCAAGGTAATACAATTAATGAAGTTTATAATTATGGTAAATAATCTCAAAGACTATTAATTTTTCAATAATAAACATCTATATTTTATTCAAAAGGTCAAGAATGTATTATTATCGAAATGATACTTTTTTATCTAATGGTCGCCCAACAATTAAATCTATTCTTCCTAGTTACGAAAACTGAGAATCTTATATAGATTATGATGATAATATGAGTGATCAGGATATAAGAAACCTCAAAGCACATGATGAATGTTGATAAAATACATCTAAAACTATTTGTTTGGCTAAATAAAAATGAATGAAACAAAATTGATTGAGGAAAGTTTTTGTTTTTGTTCTTAAGCATTCAATACAAGTTTTATTTTCGAAGCAAAAGTAAATCGATATACAAGTCGGATAATACAACATTTTAAGAAATCAAGTTTTATTAAGTATGAATCGTTGGTGGATGTTGTTGATAATATCCATTCGTATTATGATTTGCATCATATAAATGTGGTGGCCAAAAACCATTCATTGATCCATAATCAAAATACATTGAATTTGAACGAAGAAAATCATTTGCAGGATAAGATGGTGGTGAAGTTGTTGTTGTTGACATCATTGCAGAAGATGTTAGAGAAGGTGGTGACGACTGTTCATAGATATTAGGTGATGATTTGATCATTGCTTGATTAGTTGTAGTCACATCAACATCTTTACTTTCACATGCAGGTGCTAATGATTGTGTAGCATGTAAAGATGAATCATTATTATTAGTTGATGTTGAACTTGTCTCATCATCAGAATAGATTTCTTCACCATTACAACTCAAATCATTATCATTTGATGGACGACTTCGATTACTTTGTCTGTTAGCTTTTTTTTCTTTTGAACGTTTATTCTAAGAAATAAATAAAAAAACTAATCTATATAGAGTAATCATAGAAATATTTTTACTTACTTGAAACCATATTTTGACCTTCAAAAAAAAGACAAAAAAAAAACAATCAGTTTAGTTAACCATCTTAATCAAATATCAACAAATAAAAAAGAAAAGAATAACCGTAACTTTTATCTATCATCATACATCGATTTAGTCAAGCATTTCTTTTCCTTATAGATAGTTTTTCATATATGTATCTCTATCGACTATATTTTGTGTGTGAAGGGCGTATCGGTCATCATGTATTGTCCTTGTCCCATCAATGTAGAATGTATATGTATGTATGGGAGGCAAAGGGTGGAGAGATGTCACACATAGATCTTACAACGAATATACCCGCAGGGTTTATACTGACCATCACATCAATATACATCTTTTTACCTGTCTATATTCTTTCACAATGTGTATTTCTAATAACAGGTTGTCTTGTGAGCATAAAGCGAGAAAAAAAAAGGGAACAAAGCATCAATGCGTGCGTGATTTGTATATAAAGAGAAAATGTCTTTGTGTTTAAGAAGAAACGCCCATTTTTACTTTTTCTATCCGACTGTGAAACATATAGAAATCAGTCCAGTATTCTCTTTCAAAAAAAAAAAAAACTTCAAGACGGAAACTTAAGTTTATTTGATTTTTGTATAGAAAAAAAAACAAAATAATAAAAGCAAAAGAAACTATTTTAGATATAATGTCAAAATGATTTGACTTCAAAAATAGTCTACACATGAATGAATATGATCTTATTTCGTAGTATCCACAGTGGGCGTTGTCATTTCAGATAAGAACTTTTTTTTTCTCGCTTTTCTTCAAACATGCCGACCATTTGCCCTCGTCTTTCGATTGTTCACGCAATGCTGAGCTCCCCGCTGATGCGTCTTTGAATTTATATATACATACAATTTGAGCTAGCCGATAATGCATCCCGCCTTCTTTTTTTTTTCTCGTGACTCGTTTTCTGCAACGAAACTATCAACGAATATAATTGCGCAAATCACTCATAAAAATCAACGACATTCTGTTGCTTTTTCCTTATCCTAACTCATATGCGAAAGACAGACATTTGCTCGAAGATGGACATCATGAATGATGATCTTCGATTCATCATTTTTCTACATAGAGAAAAAAAAAGACAATAAAATATGTCATGCTTTAGGCTATACATATGACCTTCGATGTGTCAAATTAACATACATAAAACTCACCTGAGTTTGTGTTAGAGCAAGCATAGCTGCTAATTCAGCTCGTTCAGGCAATGCTAAATATTGTGTACGATGAAAACGTTTATTTAATGCTTGTAATTGAAGTGGATTATAAATTGTACGTGGTTTGCGAATCTTCTTTCCTTTCGCTGTCATTTTAGGTAATGAAAGTGTTGGTGGTGGTGGTGGTGGTGGAAGAGTTTCATTACCATTTAATACTACCGTGCTGAGTGATTTTTCTATTAAAATAAATAAATAAAAATAACTATGAGTATGACAAAAATTTAATTTTCGCTATTGGCATTTAGATCGAATGCGATAAATTAACTCGGTTTGTATATGATCGATCATTATCAATCGATCTTTGAAAAGAAAAAGAAAAAGGTTGATAGATAAAAGATCAATGAATAGATTAAAGTTTGTTTTTGAAGTCTTTTTTAAGATGAAAAACATCTTGTTTTTAATCAATAATACAATAATATTGAAATATTTATCGTAATGTTTCTATTGTTAAATTTGATTCCTTATTTTCGATGATGAATAGAAAACTCAAATTCTTAACTAATGATGTTACAGAAAATTTTTCGACTTATCTTTCATATATGAATTGTACTTTTCTTTTTGTTATCAGTATTCACATGAATAATATTTTAGCACCTCTCATGACAAACGATCATTTTCATTGGCACACACACATATATATATCTGTATACGCAGTTGGAAATAATCGCCATTACTTACCTTCCAATGAATTCGTTCCATTTTCATTAGGAGAATAAAAAGATTTTAATGGAACTGATGGTGATGATTGAGGAATTGATAGATTATTTGTTGGTACATAAACAGGACTCATTGTAACGTTAACATTCATATTTAAACCATGCATAGCAAATGTTGGATAACCTGTTGGTGAGTGTTGAAGTTTATCATTTGAAAAATGTGTTGTTGAGAACATATGTTGATGTTGATGATAAAGTGGTGGTGATGAAGAATTACCAATACTAGTTATGTTTGAAGTTGATGGAGTTGTATTATATGATGAAAAATCAACATAAGGATTTGATGGTGAATAATGATTGGGAAACATTTTTATTTGTGTATATGTCTCTGTTTGTGAGAATGCACAATTTGTCTCTAGTCACAAAATAGTGGGATGGTTGACCATATTTTTTTTTTCGTTTTCAATCTTTTCTCTCGTTATTGTATACTCAGTAGGTGGTTGACGCCAATGATTGGTCTATGCGAAATATGTATAAGAAAGAGAGAGAGAGAGACAGAGAGAAAACGAAAAAAAGAACATTGAAAATTCTTTTTATTTCTGTTTGAAGATGTCCCCTGCGCCGATGATTGGCGAGACGGAAATGAAACGATC